CAGCACGGTCGCACGAGATCAGTGGGTTACTGTAACAGTCAGATTCAGCTGATGAATGTCGTTCCCCAAGCAGGAGCGCAATTTAGTTTTGCGGTTGGCAAATTTCTGGTTTCACTAATATTCAACCGTCTCGTACCGCGAATGTCTGAAGGCTCCGGGATCTTCACCCAATCGGGTCCAAGCCGCTTGAATAGGGGCAGCTGTTGCACCCTAAAATTTGCCCAACCTTATTCCTTGGGTTCATGTTTTAATATCATTAGCATTTGCATATAGAGTCATGTACATAGACTAACCATCTGCATAGCATAAGCATAGCAAGTCATTCAACAGGGGACCAATCATTATTCTCATCTCTAGAATCCTATCAAGAGGTTATTATCCCAATTCAATCTCATTCAAGTCATCAGGAAAGAATTTGAAAGCAAAGAGCTCAGCAGATCAAGCCTTGAGTCCATCTCCTAGCTGAGGGTATCTGAGGGTCAACAAGAGGATTGTGAGCTGTGAGTTGAAGGCATGGAGAGTATCTAGACATCTTGAGAGACTTAGAAAGTCATTTGGAGAAAGAGACAAGTCATTGATGAGAGCACAAGAGCTATAGTTGAAGACAGTCAACTAGGGTTTCATCTGGGTCAACCCTAGGTCAACCCTAGGTCAATTGACTGATTTAAGGGGCATTCAAGTCTATTGGAGAGATGTGGGGTTCATCATTGAACATATAAAGAAGGATATGGAGATATGCCAAGAAGAATTCAAGAGAAATCAAGGAGAAGAGGAGTTACTAAATTAGGGTTCTGTGTAAAATCCCCTAGTTTAGGTCAAATTTCCAAGCAAGATAAGTCAAAATGCTAGCTTCAAATGGCTTCTTGGCCAACATGAAACTTGTAGAGGATCTCAAGACCTTTAATTTGAGTGGTGGAAGACATCAAGGAGATTTATAGAACTCAAGTTATGGTCCTTGCAAGTTACAGGTCATCTGAGGTATCTGAATTTTTGTCTGTGAAAGTGACTTGACTTCCAAGCAATTTTTACCCCTCAAGGAGATTTCAAATGAATTCTTGGTCAACATAAGAATTGTTCCTCATTGTCTTAGCTTTCTAGAATGGTATAGCATGCCCTCATATGATGTGTGGAACTCAACTTATGGTCTTGGCAAGCAAAGGGTATTTTGGGCATTTGTGAATTACAGGTCATTTTAACCTATGTCCAAAACTCATACAAGGAGGCCTCAAATGGAAAAACTTACAACATCAAACTTGCTCCAAATGGGATTTTAAGTCTAGAAAGAAGGTCACAAATTGTTGGAAAAGCTCATAGCATGAAGTTGCATGATTGGTCAAAATTTGAACTAAAATGGCTTATAATTTGAATAAAGTCAAGATGAAAAATGGTTTGGGAGATTTCTAAGTCCAAATGGAGACTTCCAATATATGATTTTGAATGGAAAAGACATTCTAAGAACAATGGTTCAAACACTTTTTTGAGTTTAGTGGAAGATTTCAAAGTGATCCTTGGTTGCTTGCCTTTTAAGAAACATAGCCAAAATGAATCAAAGTTGGAAGGCAAGGGAATGTGTAAGAGGGATCTAGAAGTTACCATTGGGGTCTATATATTCATGAAATGAAGATTGATCAAGGTTTGGCTTCATTTGCACCAAGAATTTCCCAAATTCTCTCATTCTTTCTCTTTGCAATTTCACTTCAATCTCTCAAAATCTCCACCAATCATCATCAAAATCAACTTCATCATACTGATCCATCATCATAGATCAGAATTCAATCAAGGATCTAGTGTGATCAATCCATTTTCGAGCACTTCCATCATCAACATCAAAATTGAAGTTTCAAGTGGATAGCACAATTCAAGCCAAGGTTCATTCAAGTGTTGCAAACAGAAGCAAGTAGAGGAATTGTAGATCAGGATCCAAGCCTCACAAGCCTCAGATCCACAAGATTCAGCATCATCCACAAGCTTTCACACCAGGTGCGTTTTCTCTGCCACAGCTTGATTCAATTAGGTTAGCATGATTTTATTAGTTTAAACATAATGTAGGAGGTTAGTAGAGCAATTAGGATGAATTTGGAGTAGTTTGGTGACAATTGTTAGCAGGTTGTAGAAACTGTTTGGATCAAGAACTCTTAGGTTAAGCCATTATAATGTTAGGTTGTTAGCGCAGGATAATCACCATTAGTCATAGATTAGATTAGGATAAGTTTGATTGAGAATTGTGTTGGTGCATCTCAGAGTGTTTTCATGGAGTCAGAAGTTGTTGCGCTCGGGTTGAGAGTTGTGATGAATTTCAATGTAATCAAAGACCATAGGATTATAGAGGGAGAGATCCTGAGCATTTTTCATGTTTATAGCGTGTTGATTCATGGCCTGTAGAGTGAGAACAGATGAGTTGAATTTGGCTCGTGCATGGCATTCATGGAGTCCAAACCCTAAGTTTCAGATCCATTGGGGAAGATGAAATCGTGTGCGTTCATTTCATGTTGGACCCTTGACTTGTAGAGCCATCGTGTGGCTAGCGTTTAATCTGATTTTGGAGGGAAGCGTTGGTGCCAAACGCACCGTTTCATTAATTGAAACGGGCGGGCCTGAGAGCGAGTGCTATCCCCACCCCCAGGTAGTGAGCCCAAATCAGTTTGAACGTGATTTCCTATTCTATTTTCACCCCCCTGCGCTGTGTCTTATTTTTTATTATTGCTGAGTGTTTCTGGGCCTAATTCAACTTGCTTTTCACACCCCTGTCTGCCTGGCCCAATGGAATATCAACTGGGCGTGCTTGCTTAATGAACCCCCCTCCCTCTCATTTTAATTTCAATTGTTTTTTATTCCATTTTAATTTTTACCAATTTTCATAAATTCATAATAAATACATAAAAAATCATTTTTAATCCATTCTTTTTACATCATTTTCATTAGAATGTGTAGAAAATTTTCATTAAATAAAATTGCATTTTTATTTTTATTTCATATTTTTTCCATATTTTCTAAATAAATGTCATTTTAAGTAGCTTCATTTCATGCATGATTTTAGTAATTTTAGTTCTATTAAATGCTTTCATATTTTTTGTTCATTCTTTTTAGGTTGCTTAGATGAGATATTGAACTTGTAGATTCAATTTAGTTCCCATTTTTAAGAATTAGTTTTAGGTGCTTAATGTAGGCTTGAATAACATGAATAAAATTAGGGTTTTTAGGGGATGACTTAGGAAGTTTGAATTCATTTCCCTTAGGACTTAGGGTTTGACTAGTTTAGTTATGGGACTATAGGGGCTATGGGTAGTTATTAGATCCCTTAGAAAAAGTCAGGATTCCCCTACTGCTATTAATACTGTCTGTATATCTGATTGACTGGTGTGGTGTGCCCTCTGGGGATTATTGCTTGCTTGTTTGGGTATTGGGTTTGTCTGGGGCCTTGGGAGAGCTGAGGACTTGAGGAGATGAAGACCATTGGAGATCCAGAGATTGAAGATCAACTGCCAGAGTTGGAGAGGAGGTTTTTGCTAGCAGATGCTGAGGAGACTAGGGTTTAGGAGCTAGGCAGAGCTCTAGGTTAGAAAGTTTGTTTCTCAAACATGGATTGCCTTGTCTGCATCCATTCTTCTCTGTGATACAGAGTCTCTCTAAGACACTCACCCCCTTCCTTTGGAAGGCTTGGTGATAGTGTCTAAGAGATAGAACTCTTGAGAGAAAATGTCTTTTGTGTTAGAAGCAGTCTGTTCACCACCTTTGGTAGTCAACTGATTGCTTAAACACCCAATTCACTCTTGTGATTAATCCCTCATCCTGGAGGTTTGAGCTTGAAGAAAAGCCATTGCAGATAGAGGAATGATGATCAAAGCCCTTGCCTGAAGGTCATGAAGATGGAGATTGATGCTTGTTGAAGCCTGTAACTGATTGGAGATTACTTGAAGCCAGATGTTGATTCAGAGCTGCTGATGCTGTTTCTTTTGCTGTTGTATTTCATTTGCTGATGTATTGATTGGTTTTCCTGACTGTATTGTTTGCTGTTTACCCTGTTGGGTTGAAAGTGAAGCCTGTTCACTTTTGCCTATTGTTTTCTAGGTTCGAGGTTGAGTGGGACTCCCTTGCCTCGCTTGTACTGTTGCATCCATGCATTTTACTGTTTTACTGTATATATCTGATATTGTTTCTGTTTCTGCCTATCCCGTAGGATCTCTGTTTCTCTCTGTGCAAGAGAGGAGCATGATAGACACTAGGTCTTAACCCATGCATGATAACATTAGGTTAGTTTGTTTCCCTTCGCAACCGTAGGTTAGAGTTCTGTCTCTTTCTTTCTCAAAACAAACAGAAAAACACATAAAGATTTCAAACACAATAAAAGACACTTCTTTCGTAAAAGAATGTGAACTCATCAAAACGTCATTTTTGTCCGCTGGGACTGCTAATCAGAAAAACCTTTTTCAGAAGGAATAAAATCAACCAAGACAGACTTGTGTCGTACGTGGCCCGAACTACGTTTGCTCTGATCTTCCATGCTGTGTGGAAGTACGTAGGCATAGGATGCGATATCCTAGCGAGCAACCTTCCCCTCCTTTCCCGTAGGTAGGCGAACTACGTTGACTCTGATTTCTCGTTCCAGGCGGGAATACGTAGGCATAAAGTGCGATACTTTGCCGAGTCATTTTTATTTTCAGTTTTATTTTCTTTTTAACCCCTGACCTATAGTTTAGATAGAATAACAATCCATACCCGAAAACAAGCGTGGATCCCGTCGAGTACGACGGACGTGAGGGGTGCTAATACCTTCCCCTTGCGTAACCGACTCCCGAATCCAGGTTTTGGTTGCGATGACCATACCTTTCCTGTATTGTGCGAGGTTTACTCTGAGCGTTTCCTTTCCCTCCCGTGGGATAAATAACGCACGGTGGCGACTCTTCTGTTCAGCCGGCGCCGATTTTCGCAGTAGCGACACTAGTGCCTTTGAAAGTGTAGAGGGATCAGATGATGAAGATGATTTGACAGACGAAGCCAAAATGGATTCTACATATCTGCACACAAATGGAGATGCAGTAAGTTGTAATGCCCTGTCAAATGATGTTTACTATTCATCTGATATTCTATATATAAAGAAAGCTTACTCTTCAGATGATAAGTGATTGTCCCTATCATTCTTTCTCCCATCTTTTTTAATACTTCCCCTCCTCTAGGCTTGCAATTTTAGCATTTTTGCCGTTAATATTTAGCCATGCATCGATCATCATATAATGCAATTTTCTGTATTCACTTCTAATATTTAATTTGAAATCATCTGTGTGCAGGGTGGAGAAAGGAAAAATCCATACGAGACTATGTCTAATCATGTCAATACAAATGGAGAGCAGATGGCAATCACTGCTTCAAGTATGATCCGTTCTCATAGTATTTTTGGTGATCTGCATGGTGTGCAGCTTGATCCAATAGCAGCTGACATTCTGAGGAAAGAGCTAGAGCAAGAAATTTTTGCTCGATTGAGAATTACTCTTATGGGTATGAACTGTCTGATATTGGTCATTCTCTGAAAGCAAATATATTTATCGGAATGGTTTTCTCATGGCATGCATGAAATCTACTTCCTCCAAACATTTTTTTTTGTTGCTGAAAACAGTTGCAATTCTAGAAAATCTTTTAGCAAACACTGTTTTTCTTTGTTTAGAGGCTCCATCATCTGATGAAGTTGAATCCTATGTGATTCTTCAAGAATGCCTTGAAATGAGGAAAATATATGTTTTTCAAGATGCAGTTGCTCCATGGGAGAAATAAGTTATATCTGACCCCTGTACTCCAAAACCAACCTAGACCCCTTCTTTTACACACCTGAAGGAAAGTCTGACGTGAGTTATGTTATTTATTTCTTTTTATATTTTCCACCTGATAAAAGTTGGACCTCCTCATTTTATTTTTCCTGTAATTAAACAAGTATTTTCTCTGTTGTGCCACAACATTACTTTGAAATGCAGGATGGAGTTATTCATGTATATCCCAATAGAAACTGTAAGTTAATGAGGAACTAGTTTGCAAGTTTTGAGGTTATTGCTATAGCTGATGCATGCTTGCCTATTACTTGCAGCCAAAGAAGAGCTTTTTCCTGTTTCCGATGCAACTACATTTTTCACTGACCTTCATCAGATACTTAGAGTTATAGCAGCAGGAAATATCACAACATAACATAGATTCTTTTTTAAATAATGTCTCAAAATTATTGAATATAAAGATAATTTTTTAATAATTTGTAGCAAACAGACCCTTGATATCCTGATAGTGAGTTTTTTAGAATTCACATGCATGAATGATCAAGTCTTTTCAAACTAGTTTATTTCTTCTGATGCCTCTTCAGTTTACTCATTCATGTGATGAATGTGTCATTCAAGATGATTTCTATACATTTTCTGTTTGACATGACATGCTAAAAAAGTAAATAAAGTACACATTTTGCAGGAGGAAGTACTTAGAATAGTGAAGCCGCAACATTTTCTTCCTGTACATGGAGAATATTTGTTCCTAAAGAAGCATGAATCACTTGGAAAATCAACTGGCATTCGGCATACTGCTGTGAGTCATTTCCTCTCAAACAAATCTTGTGATAGAGATGTGTTTAAATATATCATGTGAGTTCTCACATAACATGTTAGCTGACTCGTGACCTTTATGCACCAGGTTATAATGAACGGAGAGATGCTTGGGGTTTCACACTTGAGAAATAGAAGGGTTCTTTCTAATGGTTTCATTTCCCTTTGGAAAAGAGAATTTACAGGTTGGTGGCCCTGAGTACTATCTTTAGTCAATATGTAGCAGAAGGTCTTGAACGGGATAGAGACGGAAAGACAGTTGAGAACGACAAGATCATGAGAAGTGATGACAATACTTAGCTTCGATGGAAGTGACCGCGGGTGGGCTATATTCTGTAGAGGACAGTCTGAAATGGCAAGAGCTAAAGGTGATGCTGCTTTAACAAGTTTGAGAGATTATGATAAGTGGAAACATAATATTGAACAAGATGGTTGGGTTCCTGCATTGAATGATTATATTAAGGAAATTCAGCAGCCGCATCATTGTAATCGACTTATTCTTCTTGGGAGCACTGGTGGAATACCGCAGAAGGTTGTTTGCGCGGAATATGGTCGTCAAATGGAGAAATATTTCATGTATCGTTGTTGTGTGGAGTGACAGAAGGAAATTTCATGTGACATTGTTAGTACTGCTTCATTTGTTTATTTATGTATGAATAAGATTGGTTTGAGAGTTGTTTATGTTTTGTTATAGGGTCATAATGGTTCTAGAGGAGCATGGAACCATTGTCAATAGCAAATTCTTTGAGATGAATGGTGAGAAACAAGTTCTGGTTCAGTTTGAGACCGAGGAGCAGGCTATGGAAGCCCTCGTGTGCAAGCATGCCACTTCACTATCCGGCTCGGTACTTATTCATACATATAGTTCTCACACTTATCAAGCTTGTATCTGGAAACTCTGCAGGCACCGTCACTGCTTACTATGTAAGAACAAATAACTCTTGCTATTTTAATGCTTATTATATGCTACAATAATACTAATAATTGATATTTCAAAATTCGTAATTATTTATTTTTAATATGGCATGTTGCAGTTGTCATCAGTACTGTCAATATTTATGTGTCAAAAGATGGTTTTTGATAGGTTTCTCAGTACTGCTTCTAATATAAATGTTCTTGACAGGTTTCTCAGTACTGTCAAAAGATGGTGGTCTCATTGGTTAGGAATGGAAATTGGGAGAACTGGAAGCATATAGATAGTTCTTCTTTGCTTGGAATTACAACTGCAAAAGATGGTGGTCTCATTGTCTGTGATATGCTACCTTGGTAAGAACTGTATACAATTCATGTATGTATGTATTGAATTGTAAGAAGTATATATTAATGGTGCATGCATGATTGAATAACAAATAATTATATATTTGCAGGGATTGCTGAAGGTTACAGAAGAAGATGGTTTCAGTGTTATCCTTTCACAAGTTAATGGTTCTCATTACTGACTTTGTTGAAAAATTTCCACTATCAAGTGTAAACTAGTGTTGTTCGGAATTCAGATCTTATGTGTATTGATATATATGGTTTAGACCAAGCAAATCTAATAGAATACTATCCATGTAATTTAAAATCATTTATAATTTTTGTAATGTCGTAAAATTCAAATGCCATATATATATATATATATATATATATATATATATATATATATATATATATATATATATATATATATATATATATATATATATATATATATATATATATATATATATATATATATATATATATATATATATATATATATATATATATATATATATATATATATATATATATATATATATATATATATATATATATATATATATATATATATATATATATATATATATATATATATATATATATATATATATATATATATATATATATATATATATATATATATATATATATATATATATATATATATATATATATATATATATATATATATATATATATATATATATATATATATATATATATATATATATATATATATATATATATATATATATATATATATATATATATATATATATATATATATATATATATATATATATATATATATATATATATATATATACAAAAAAAATGATTTGGTGTAAAAAAAAGTGTATTACAATAGTGTTTTGAAGAGAGCGTGCTATAATAGCGCTTTGTTAGAAAATCCTATCAAAATTAAAGCAATTTATCGGTATTTTAATAGCGCTTTGTTTGAAAGTGCTATCGAATATGTGGATTATAATAGCGCTTTCTTTGAAAGTGCTATTAAATATGTGTCTTATAATAGCGCTTTATTTGAAAGCGCTATTAAATATGTATATTATAATAGCGCTTTGTTTGAAAGTGCTATCAAAATTAAAGCAAATTACCGGTACTATAATAGCGCTTTGTTTAAAAACGCTATCAAATGTGTGACTTATAATAGCGGTTTTGGAAAAGCGCTATTAAATACAGGTACTATAATAGCGCTTTTGAAAAAACGCTATTAATTACTTGTACTATAATAGCGCTTTTAAAGTGCTATTAAAAATTATGTTTTACAATAGCGGCTTGATTAATAGCGCTTTAAAGCACTATTAAAAAGCAAAAAAAGCGCTATTATAAAGCTTTTTTGTAGTAGTGTTTACATGATGCTTTTCAGTGTATCTGTTTCTTTCTTTTGATCCTTGTGACCTAATCCAAGGGAAGGGACTGTATGTTGACTTATCGTCATTGTGCGTGTCCCTCGTCTGTTCTTTACCTGTCTTAGTTGTTCTTGGTTCTTAGAACCTGATAACTCGTAGTTTTACGAACTACGGACACTCTGATTTCTCATTTATCGATGATAATACGTAGGCACAAGATGCAATGTCTTGGCGAGCTCACTAACAACTAAGTTCCTGTTTACCTTTGCCATAGGACTTGGAGGCGTTGTGCTCTATTTAGTCGTCCCGCCATGGACATTCCCCCTCCTTGCTAACTTAACTTAGTTTAGAGTCGTCACACCCTATGTAGGTGTCTCACCGCAGACATTTACTCTTTTCCCTTTGGAACCTTGATCACAGTTAAGAGTTCCTCACCCCTAGCTAGAGGAACTACAGTTGCTCTGATTCCATTCCCGTCAGGATACGTAGGCACGAGATGCGATGTCTTGGCGAGCATACTTTGTATATACTTTAGATCTTTACCTTAGCACTTTTCCCTTAGCAAGCAACTTTAGCATGACACAAATATTAACAAGAGGTTCCTGTAGAGTACTACAGATACTTAGGATGCTAACACCTTCCCTAGGTATAACCAACCTACGAACCTTAGATCTCTTAGCGTTGTTGTTACATCGCGCAAAAGGTTTTTCTTTCTTTAAACCTTTCCTTTGGATAAATTAAAGTCCGGTTGTGAATTTAATGAATTAAGATTCAAGTTAATCAATAGCTTGGTATCACGATTCTCACTGCAACAAAAATGACGACTTCACTGGGGACCTCCCCTAAGAGGGTTAAGTCCACCTTGTTTATATTTATTTTTGCTATATGTTTGCTTGCTTGTATATCTGTATATGTTTGTACATATATCTGTTTGTGCTTGGGTTTTTGCTGTGTGCAAGGTTGTGACCTTAGAGTGGTGAGATAAGTCCTAACCCAGACTTGAGTAACATATATGATAGGATGTGATATGATCAATAGTTGACTGTTGGGAGTAGTCCTTACAAGTTTAACATATGATGTAATCACGCTCAGTTGAGACCTCCTTGAGATGATTGATGATGTATGAGTAGTCATGCATTCCATTAATTATTCCAACCTGAGAGTCTGCGAATGTTACCCTCTCTTTGCCTTTTAGGACATAGTGCAGTGATTATCTAGGTGTAGACCGGTGACGTTTGTCATGTGATACTACACTCAGACGAGTTTATCTTGAGAATATTATTAGCCCATGAGTAGTCGTGTAAGCTGATAATATCCAAAAGATTTATTAATGACTCTGGGAACTTTGTTAGAACCCGTTGTGCAGGTGATTTACCCATAGTACACTCCCCGTGGTTGGTTCTTCACCCAGACCCCATGTTGTGATCTTGAACCTTTGATCCTGTTATGTGTGTTTTGCATCCTATCTTGCATCGCATTGCATTGCATTTGCATTTTTGTATGGTTCATTGCATGCCTCTATTTGTCCAGTAGCTCATGTCCAGTTGTCTTCATCTTCCAGTGTGCCTCTGAGTCGTCAAGTTGATTCCTCAACACTGATATTGGACTAAAGATAATTACAGACGCAAGATGTCAGAGCAAGAAGCACATAATGCAGAAATCCGAATGGAGATCAATGAAGTTTCTAATTTTGCGATAGGTGCAAATACTTCAGAGTAGTTGATTCCTGATCTCTGAAGAAATTTCCGAGCTTCCAATCTCGCCTTATGTCTTGCTATCGATCCATCAAATTTGTGCTTCAACTTGAACACCCACTTCACTTTGATAGCTTTTGTATGTGCTGGCAATTCAACAAACTCCCACGTGTTGTTTCTTTCAATTGCTTGTAACTCTTTGACCATAGAATACTTCCACTTCATATTATTTAAAGCCTCATTATATTTAATTGGTTCAACACCTGCAAGTATGTAAGGAAAAATGAACTAACTCTCCATGTGTTGTGACTTCATCATCACCAACCACTTAATAGTCCTGAAATCTTGTTGGAAGAGCTATATTTCTTTGAGATCTATGACTTGTGCTAGCCATATCCTCTTCGACTTCGACTGTGTCGGGTATGTTAGTAACAACTTCGACTTCAACTGTAATATCGACAATTTCTTCGAATTTGACTTCATCAATTTCTTCGTCGATGCCACAACTCATCAATGGAATGTCAATTACATTACTAGAATTTCAATCCCAAGAATAATTTTCATCAACCAAAATATATTAATAAATCATAATCTTCTGACTAATTGGATTGAATAGCCTTTATGCACCAGTTTTATGATATCCTACCAGAATCATAGGTTCACTCTTGTCATGAAGTTTCCTTCTTCTAGCATTAGGAATATACTTGTAGAAAATAGAGTCAAACACTTTCAGATGACTCACTGATGGTCTTTTGCCAATCCATACTTCTTCAGAAACATTGTTCTTCAACTTCTTGGTAGGGCACCTGTTCAGAATATAAACAGCAGTCGAAACAACTTCACCCTATAAGGATTTTGTCAAATTCTTCTGCTTCAGCATGCATCTTGCCATGTCCAATATGGTATTGTTTCTTCTTTTTTCTATTTCACTATGTTTAAGAGTATAAGGAGAAATTACCTCATGATCAACATCATGTTCTGCAGAGAATGCTTCAAATATCTTGGATGTGTATTTGCTACCTCTATATGTTTGCAAAACCTTGATCTTCTTCTCACTTTGCATCTGGAATCTCTTAAAGATTTTTAATACTAGGTATTTCCTCTTTATAACATAGATCCACAACTTTTGACTAAACTCATCAATAATAGAAACAAAATACTTGTTTCCACCAATGGTATGCTCCTCAAAAGAATCACATACATCTGAATGTAAAACTTCGAGTATGCAGAATAATCTCATTGGTATAGTCAAAATGAAAGACTTCCTAGACTACTTTTTTATTAGACAACCTTCATAGAATTTGTCGGGTATCTCAAGACTTGATATACCAATTACCATATCTTGAGTGATCAGTTGATTGAGCGACCTAAAGTTTAAATGACCAAACCTCAAACGTCACAACCAACTATGCTTGTCTTCGACAACATTTTTTAGACAATGTACTTCAGTAGAACTGATCGTGGTCTTAAATGTTCTATTCTTCAACATAGGAGATTTCAAGACCAAGTTATTTTGGATGTCGAAAAGTACTAAGGCTTCATCTTTCATAACTACTGACAACCCCTTTTTGACCAGTTATCCAACACTTAACAGATTACACTATTCCAGGGACATATAGTACATTTTTTATCAAGGCTTTCACTCCATTACTCCTTTGAATAACTATGTTGCTAGTACATTCTGCTTGGAACGAGCTATTATCAGCAAGTTTGACCTTGCTCTTCTTCGACTCATCGAAATATACTAATCATACTTTTTGATCAATCATGTGATTCGAGCAGCCTGACTCGAGGAACCAGATGTTCAATTTGACATGGTCATCTGCAACTGGATCCATAACTACCATATCATCTGAATCATCTGAATCTTAACGTGCAAGGTTCGCTCCTTCGTCCTTACCTTTAGTCAATCCCTTGTCTTTCCTGTACCAACAATGGTTGGCCAAGTGACCCCACTTTTCACA